AAAAAAAAAAAAAAAAAAAAAAAAAAAAAAAAAGAACAACTTTTTAGGCTGCAGGAAAATATTGGGACTTGACAAAATTGAAATTTAAAACATTTCCAGATTGTGAAATATTTCCTTATTTAAAACTTTAAAAAGACTAGCTATAAATTTAAAAAGATTAGCTGTAAATTATAATAATTTAAATGCCTAGGGCCAGGGATTTGGCTCAGTGGTTCTGCCGCCTGCCTCACAAGTGCAAGGGCCTGAGTTTGATCCCCAGTATCCCCCTCCCACCCCCCAAAATTTAAAATCTTTCCACTTTCATGACTCCCATGAAACATGACTATAACACAAATATGGAATTGGGGGAGGGGGTCATCCTAATCTCCAGTATGCCAAATACTTTTACTATTTCTTTGAATAAATGGTAATGCTCTGTACTCATTTTTACAAAAACTGCAAGAAATAAAACTGACTACTAGGGATTATAACAGATACCTAAGGATTTAGGGGTCCACTGCTTAAATAAGTAACATATTTACTCCTATAAGCACCTTTAGGGCTCCACTGTTCACAATGGGCAATCAAGCACTTGATATGTGTGACTCAACTTTTAATTTTATTTAAACTTAAATATATTTGGTTCAGCTAAAATACTGTATATGTCTAGAACAATTAAAAAATGTAAATCTTTTTCAGCTACAAATTAATGAATCAAAACAAGTATTTCCAATAAATAGTAAAGGAATGTGCTATATTATAAATATACACAAAGTTTCAAAGACATAAAAGAATGAAAAGTATGTCATTTCTGATTTACAGATTTTTAAAACATTTTCTGATAAACATTAAAGTTAATTCTTTCACAAGTCCATACAGCTGCTAGAAAATCTAAAACTACATAATGTAGTTTACATTCTTTCTGGGAGACAATGGTACACTGAAATAAAATCCTCAAGTTTCAAACTCATGCCTTATCTACCTGCCAAATAAAACTTTCTCTTTATGTCCTCACTAGCCAATGAGATTCTTCCTATTAATCTTATTACTAGCTTTTATGTACATTTTTATCCATTGTCTGCTGAGATTATAAACCCAATTTGTGGGCTGAAAAGAGAGAGGGTTATTATATATTATATACCACGAGTTTGATAGACCATAATGAATACAGTACTTTTGCAGGGTGTAAATGCTAAGAACCGACAGCAGAGGGCAGCATACCCCTCAAAACCATAAAAGCAGCTTTCTTTAGAATTGAACATTTTAGTTTTGGATAATTTTGGTCTGGAAAGAATGCCTAACTTAAAATTTAAAAAGAAATTAAAGTGAATCTTTATATAATAATGTTTGATCTAAAAATGTATGTGTCTGCAAAAAATAATGGTATGGTAAACCAAATCTTACCTTCATGACAACAGGTTTCTCAAAATTATATACAGAATGGGCCTTCCTCTGAACAAACTTCTGAAACTCTGGAGAGAAAAGAATGACACTGAAACCCTCAAATAAACAAAAGAGGAGATTTAAAAGCTCCATCAAAGTCTTATCTCACCATTATACACCATCTGAAAATTAAAAGGCTCCTCTTCATAGATGTCATTTAAATGTTTCATAGCTATTATAAGACAAATTTCCAAGACTGACAGTCCTATAGTAAAAGAAAACAAACAATGAGTTGTAGTTTACTCATCATAAGATTGACTACTGTGAGGGAATCATAATAAATAACTGTCCCCCAAGGAGTAGAGACAGAAAAGATTATGGTTTTGAAGGATGGCGGAGGTCAAGATTCCTATAGATTCAAGTGTGTCGTAAACTACTATCTACCAAAAAACCTCAACCTCTAAGTTTTGTTTTTAATATCTGCAAAATAAGGGCCTTTCTAAACTTACACACATGCTATAAGAATCATCAAGCACTCACAGCATGACCCACCGTGAACAACAGGAACTACGATTCTGTTAGTTCAAATCACACAAGTCCTTTATTCAGAGAACATAAACTCCAGAAAATTTTATCTAAAATTTTGAGCGCAGTTTTTTCTCCCCAGAGAGAAAAATGCTCTTTACATCATGAAAAAGAATAATGAACCCAAAGTAACTAAATGTCAGTGAATGCTCTTCAGTTGCACTTGGTGCAATGAGAAACTCAACGATTAAGTCTGACTTGACTTTCCAATATGGCAGCAGAGTCAGTGTCCAGTTTCCTCCATTTTCAAGGAGAGCAATAAAGTTGCATAAAGGACTGAGTTAAAGGCTATGTGGATATAAAAGTATTCTGTATATAAAGTTATACTCCATTTTTATAATTCTGGAAACATCTCCAGTCAAACTCAATTTAAAAAAATGACTAATAAAACAGATTCTCACCATGTACAACATTTGCTTTAGAATCCATGCTACAAAGCTGGGCTGCCTCCATCAAATCTGCTGCAGTCAGAAATGGGTGTGATACTGTTACTCGATTTAAAGCAACCATCTATAGAAAGGTAGACCAGAAAAACATTTATTTACTTTGGCATTTTGGAGATAATTACTGAGCAAAGTTTATGAATTTGTGTAGCCTGTTGTTATTGGAGAAAAATGCTTGGAAAAGGCATTCTAAAATTTACCTTTCAAAATACAGTATTTCGGGCTGAGCATTTAGCTCAGTGGTGAAGCAGCCAGCCTTGCAAGTGCAAGGATGTGAGTTTGATCCCCAGTACCAAAAAAAAAAAAAAGAAAAGTAAAATACAGTATTTTAATTTGTATGTCACATAGTTTCATAAACGTAAATAAAAAATTGTTTTGTTGCTTTCCCAACTACTTCTGACCTGCATTGCATTTATTTACTCTTTAAAAAAGGAATAGTTCAAGAAGAGTAGGAGAAAAACTGACAACAATACTAATCAAAACCCCAGACCAAACCAAAAAGGCCAATCTATGCCTTGTATTAACTTTTAACTCTTTTAAACTGATCAAACAGCAGAAGTTAAGGTCAGAGGTTACTTATATTTGTATAAAAAAAGAAAAGCAAACAAAAATCAAATTGATACCTATAGGAACAACTCTCCTTGAAAGCCAAGTCATTTCTCATGTACTTTTCATTTAGTTTTCCCAAAACTAACAAAATTCGTGCACTAAAGTTGCCAATGCAAATATAAATTTTTTCTTTACTACATTTTTCATTAAAAATTAAATTTAGTTATTTAAGATTTAGCAGATAAAAATGCAAAATAGCATGTTAAATCTGAATTTCAAATAAACAATGACTGATTACTTAGTATAGGTAAGTACCATGCAATATTTAAGAATAGTTATGCTAGAGGTTCTTTTTTTTTGTACCTGGGATCTAACTCTGGACCTTGCACTGGCAAAGCAAGCTGTGGCACCACTGAGCTAAATCCCCGGCAAGAACAGTTATGCTAGAAACTCTTGCCTCGCTTATCAGTGTGCAAATGCCTTAGTTATGCAGAAGACACTGGCAATCCTGTAGTTCATTCTCCTACTGTGTGGGATCCAGACCTCCAGTAGCTCTTTCCCTGTTTCCTTTCATTATAAAGTATTAACATACAAAAAGACAAGAGAGAACCATGTACCTATGATCACTTTAAGAATTATAATTTTATAAAGTTAAAGCTAGTCTCCTCTCCTGACTGGACTCTACCTTCCTTACACCACATAAAACAACCACACATTATCTTTCTTACTTCTACTTTAGTTTCTAAAACATGCGCAGGTATTCCTAGACCATAAAGTAATATTCAAGCTTTATATAAATACTGCATTGTACTTTTACAGCTCACTTTCCACTGCACATCTGAGAACTTACCCATGTTAAGGTGACAATCTAATTAATATATACATTATATATTAGTATAGCTACATGCCTATATATATCTACTCTAAAAATTTAGGCCTCAGATTCCTTCATATTAGCATGTTGTTAAGAATGGCAGTATATTTTTGATAGGTAGGAGAGGGATAAACTAATGAGAAGAAGTTTATATGGAGAAAGACAAATTTCTTCAACAAAAATCGTAAAAGGGAGGAGTACTGGCAGAACCACATAGTAAAGTTGAACAAAAGTTTGTTGTGGCCAAAGAGCCTTTGTTTAAGCTCTGGCTTTGCCATCAACCATCTATGAGCAAGTTTTTTCACCTCTACAAAACTCAGCTCCTTTAAAGGGTAAGAGTAAAACACTTAAGGATAAAAAATAGTATTACTGCAATGTTTAGAAATAACATCGGATAGCAGATGTGCTAGTCAGTAAACGGTGAATGCTATTTTATTATTATTATTGCTGTTACTGTTATTGAACTATTTTCTCTCTGAAAAGTACCTGCCATAATTTTCTAGAAATACTGAGCTAATGCCGAAAAACTTCCGAAGGTTTTGAAGCTTCTTTACTTTTCAGAACACAGTTCTGAAATTAAGTAACTCTTGATCAATACTGATATTATTTATGCTTAAAATGTAATTACTCACTGAAAGACCATAACCAAATGGGATTTATTCTATATATATATGTAAGGCTGGTTTAGCACTGAAAAGAAAAAAAAAAATCACTGTAATCCAACATATTAATATCTAAAGAAAAATTATATGATCAGCTGATTCAGAATTCGACAAAATCCAAGACCCATTCTACATAATCTCAAATATATATAAAATGTAAAAAATTTTACCCTATACAAGTTGATAGGACAAGATGGTAGGTTACCAGACTTGGATTGGCGTGGGGTGGGCAGTGTGGAAAGGTGCATCAACAGGCACTAAGTTACAGGAGCAGTTAGCTTTGGTATGGTAGTCCACTGTAGGGTGACTATAAGAAATATACTGTACATTTCAAAAAGGTACAGTATTTTTGAAATTGAAAGTTTCCATCAAAAAGAAATTATAAATGAGGACATAGATATGTTTAATCTGATTTAAACATTACCCAATTTATACTTCTATGAATACATCACAAGATACCCATTTCTAGGTACAATTTTTATGAGTTAAAAATAAATGTAATTAAAAGGACAAACCGATAGCATGTGTAATGACCTCAGGTCTTTGCTGACATTAAAATGCTTTAGTAGAACATCTTGTACACTTTTATCTTCAGAAAGACTCTAAAGGGAAAAAAAACATTAAGGAATGCAGTTTAAAACAGAAATATAATCTTGTACTCTAACTGGTTAGAACACTTTATTAACCCTGACATTTATTCATTATTAAATAGACACCGGTTGATCTAAAGAACAGTAAAATCAAGGCCAATTTTCAGTCTACTGATTTTCTTCTCCCTTTAACTTGAACACAAGAATGAAACAATTCTTGCTACTCCAAAATTTCGGGAAACTACACAGTTACATTAGTAGGATGAACAAAATGTAGCGCAACATATAACAGTGAATGAACACTTGTGTGCTTGAAAAGCAAGAAGTATTCGAATAAAGTGTTAATCAAAGAAGGAAAAGCCTCAAATTATGAGCAGCACTGGGAATACCATGACATACTCACACAAAACAAGACTTTTGCACCCAAGTTTCAATTATCTGCAAAGGATAGTATGTAAAGATAAAGGAAAGAAAACTTCATCAGAGGCAAAGACAAGGAGAGTATGAATTAACGAAATGATAAGAATAAAAGAGAGAGGAAGTTTATAGAACATAATCTGAGAAAGAACCAACTGATGAGAAGAGAAAAATGGATTTGAAAATAGGAGGTCAAAATCAAGGATAAACTATAGGGAAGGACTCCTTGCGAAAAGTGAAACATGATCACAACTGAGCTTTGGAATACCAAGATTTATTGATATTTAAATAGATGGAAAAATGAAAACAGTACTCTGGATAATACACACTGGAAAATAATTCAAGACAGTAGTGATCTAGAAAATAAGGGAAGAAAACTTCAAGAGGGAATTGTTGATCTAGAGTGTAAAACATTGTGTAAAATTAAACAGATATAGTCTGAGAAAAAGGCTAGTGGTTTTAGAAATCTGGAGACCAAAAGGGCTCTTTGAGAAAGCAGTATCTAAATGCACCAGAGACTCCACTGAATAAGGATTCAATGAAAGGTGAGGAACCCTTAGCACTGAAGAATTAGATGAAAGGAGAGTAAATTCAGAGGGTACAGAGGATACATAAAACAGTAAGAAAACCTAGAATAGTTTTTTTAAACATCGTCTGCATGAAATATTTATTAAAGAAAAATCTTGAACACTAAGCATTTCTATATTTGCTAGAGCTATAACTTTATGTCTTTATTTCTCCCACTGTTATGAGGATTCCTTTTTCAGGAAGACATTCTAGTCTACTGGAATGAAATTTCATATGTTCAATAAGTATGTCATAGCAGTTAAAGTTTCCACTCCCTTTTATTGTATTTAATATTCCCTTTTTACTTTTTAAAAATAAATAAGGTCAAATATCCACTGGAAGTACAGAAAATGAACATAGAACAGTGAGGTAATATACATAAATTTTAACCTCCATAGTCTTCAGATTTCAATATGGAAGAAATTTGAGAAGTACTGCGGCTAATTATAGTAGGCAAACTACAGTCTAGACTTCCATAATCCGACTCTTAGCAAATCACTTATAAACTTGATGTGGTAAAACTGAAACACTTAGGAAAACTAAAAAAAATCATCTAGGACAAAAATGATGTATGAAAAATTTCTCCAGAAAAATACAATTACTTTAAAAAACTATATTTGGCTTTCTTTGGCACAATACCTTAAAGGGTTACTCTATACGTTGCCTTCCAAATGTAACTTAGTATTTTTAATGGTCTGACTCAAATTCTTGTTTTTGAAAGCTATCACCTTGTTTGCATAGTTTACTTTTAAAGAAAATGTACATCATCTATATGTACACTGCATACATCTAATTTCACTAATTCTTTCACTTTGATCTTGATCCAAATGTTATAAACATCTGAAGGTTATAACTAAATTAACTGTAGTACTTTGAGGTATTTCCTATGAGAAGAAGTAGATGTAATTCTTTTAAATGCTCCTTTTCAGGGACTTCCCTTATTTTGTCATGCTGAGATGGAGTCTACTCTGTTTACTTGACTCTTTTGACGCAGGGCCAAAATAAACTTCCAAATTAAGCATAAAGTAAAGGCTCAAGCCTATACTGAAGACGTTTCTCGTAAGAGATTCCAGAGATTACCTGTTATTTCTACCAATGTTTTCAGTTTAGTCTTGCAATGTCAGAAATCTGCTGAGTAGTCAGCACTGACAGAAAGGATAGCTCCCTTAATTCAGCCTTCCTCACATATCCTCCCAGCCAGAGACTCTGACCATGGTGCTGAGAGATTGTTTTCAAGGGAAACTTTTTAGTATGTCAAAGGAAGAGGCACAAAATGACTGGCATAAGAAAAGACAATACTACAATTATCTTCTTTAATAGTGTTAGTTCTACTTTATGCATCTGAAAAAGATAATCATATTTATCATGTACCTCTAAATTTCGGTATTATAAAGTCTGCAATAAGGACTAGAAAAGTAGGGTTTAATCACCATGACGGTTACCATTTTAAGCCATCCAAGTACTGCTTAAACCAAAGCTGGCATCATCCTCTTTATATTCAGTCCTCTCTTGTGGGGGGCTGAGTCAAGATACCCCACAGCCAAAATATCACAATGCTCATACCCCTTAAATAAAATGATATAGTATTTGCATATAACCTAGAAACATTCCTTAAATCATCTCTAGATTACCTACAGTACTTAATATAAAGTGAATGCAATGAGTTATACTGCACTGTATAGGAAATAGTGCAATATAAAAGTCTGCGAGGATATAATCCTAAGTGAAATAAATAAATCACACATGTGTAAATACTGAACAGTTTCTCTGGTGTGAAAAACTATAATAGTACACAAGATCCTAATGAGATAATTAACAATGTGAAATAGGAAGAAAAGGGCTAAAGGTGTAGGGAAAGTGGGAAGGGTAGGGGAAAAGGAATAAGGGAAAAGAAAAAATATGAGTTAATGAAAAAATGGAAATAAAGTGTTTGTAAATGGGGAGGGGGTGGAGGGAGGGCAGGGACAAGGGGAAAAAATGAGAACCAAGACCTGTCATGTAAAGGTACAAGATCACAATAATGACTGTAACTGTACTGTAAACGTAAAATGTACCAATAATCTCAATTAAAAAAAAGAAAAACATAGTCTGTACATGGTCATATGTAATTTTTTTCAAAAATTGTTTGTCTATCATTGAATCCAAGGATGGAGAAATGGAAGATCAACTATATTCACTTTGACACATTCAGAATGTAACACAGCTAGGAGAGACACAAAGATGGATAATGCCACAGAGCAGCCTCAGTTATGTAGTTGACTTAGGAAAAGACAGTGTGTAGGGACAGAAATATTAAATGATCCTGGATAGTAGTCTATAAAAGACTGCATTTATTTTGGGGAATAAGAGAAATGCAGGAGGCATAACAATGTCTGATTTGAAGCCATAATACAAAGCCATAGTGATAAAGATGACATGGCACTGCAACAAAAACAGATGCACGGATTGATGGAGTAGAACTGAGGATACAGAATTGAGGATATATTACAAAATGGGATAAAAGCATACGTTGGAGGAAAGAGCTAGTCAACAAGTGGTGCCAGGAAAATTGGTTATCTGTTTGCAGAAGACTGAAAATTGCAGCCCTCTCTTTCACCATATACTAAATTAAAATCAAAACAGATCAAAGATTTAAACATTAAAACAGAAACGTTAAACCTACTAGAAGATAAAATGGGTAAAACACTTGAAGATACAGGTGTAGGGAAGGATTTTCTACACAGAATTTTAGATAAAAATAAACTCAGTATGTTAAGGCTCAACACTCTATAAGAAAAAAAGAATGGACATGGATATAAGGGAAAAAAAATTTTTACCATGTATTTTTCTATACCGATTAAATTTTTCAATAAACTTTTATGATTTAACAAACAGCAACTGTATCAAAATTACTAGTGCTTATGTGGGCATACTATATAATTTAAAAAATAATTATTTTAAAAGCAAAATAAATAAAAGTTTCCACTTTTAAGTTGGTATTGATATCTAAGACATTTTGGTGAAAAGAACATAATCTATCATCATTGCTTTACCATAGAACAATTACATTTTCCAGAGCTAATCAATGCAGCCTGTGTAATTGTTAAATTTAACATTACAGTTTTCCCGAATATTCCTAAACAAAAGACTACCTTATTTTCTGTTACCACAGTATTTGTATTATCTTATTCTGCCATGAGGAAATTATTAAAAACATCAAAACTATTTTCCCTTTATGTTACTAAACACATAGTCATATACATATTTCCCCTCTTCCCCTTGCTGACTATCATTTCTTGTTAGCATAAGATGAAATTTATAATAGTACTGAGAAGATATAAAGCTGAAGTTGTTTATAAGAAACTGAAACACAAACATCTGCGTAAGATAGGCATGAACCATTAATATAGTACTTTGTTAAACTTGTAAAATTTAAATTATATAAATTGACAAAATTATCTAAACTATAAAGCAGAGAAAAGAAAAATGTTTTAGATAAAAACACAAAAGTTTACTTGAAACTACAGATGTTAACTGCTACAGCTCAACAGGATATATAACATTTTAATTGCCTTTAGTAAGAAAAAAAGGATATACAATTTGCATTCTCCCAGTCACAAGACTTTGTGTTACTTACAATGTTTTAAATTTGATTATAACTGCTTTAAACCATATAGTATTATGGCTTGTATCTAGATGTTCCCTCAAAGTCTCAGGCACTTATAGGTGGGGCTTTTTGAAGCTGGCAGGATCCAGGCTATGTGACACTCATATTAAGGATGTGTGGTACTAAATCAGTCCACTGATTGGAATTACCACAGTTCTACACTGAATGGATTTAGTGAAGACAGAAGCCTTACTGGGGTCTGTGGTACCTCACAAAGCTGACAGTCTGGGTGGGATGAGGTGGGAGAGAACGTCCGCCGCTGCTGCTTTGCCGCTTGCCATGCCGTGCTCTCCTCTGTGATGCCCCTCTGCCACAGCCCGCTGCCTTGGACTGAAATCTCTACAAAACGTGAGCTCAAACAAACCTTTCCTCCTTTAACTTCTGGGTGTCAGGTGTTTTGTCCCAGCAATGAGAAAAGTAACCAAGACATACAGCAAGACACAGTAATTACTTGAACATTATTAACTTTAAGTTACCCAGGGCTGGGGATTTAGCTCAGCGGTTCCACCACCTGCCTCACAAGCACAAAGTCCAAAGATTAATCCCTGGTACCAAAAAAAAAAAAAAAAAAAAGAAAGAAATTCATATATAAGTTACCTGAATGTTCTCATTCCACTTCTCAGAAAAAAGTTTATCTGAAAATTCTACAGGTAGAGATAACTGTTCTTTAAATATTTTAACATACTGTGGAAAACCAAATGAATTCATTAAGTGTATCTGCCGGTGAGAAAATCGTGATTTCACTCTTTTTTCTAGAAGTTCCAAAATATCCTTAAAAACAAACAAAGATGCATGCTTAAAAACTACAGGATTAATGTTAGAAGTACAAGTAAACCATTACCCACAATTGGTAATGCTTATTCTATGGTATACAGTCACACATTTAAAAAAACACAGTGAAGTATTTGCCATAAAGAAGAATGAAGTTGTTATCTGCAGCAAAATGGAGAGAATTTGAAGCCACTATATTGAGAAATATGGCAGACATGAAAACAAGTACCATATGTTCTCTCCTATGTGTAAGTAAAATTCTCGGTGTGACAGTAAAATAGTGATGACTAGAGAAGGTCTTAGGACAGGGAGGAGTGCAGAAAAAAGTTTGATGAATTTTATCAGTGCATGTTGCATGGATGTATAGAAAAATTACAATGAACCCCACTACTACAATACACATTAATAAAAACACAGAAAATAAATTTAAAAACCTAAAGAAAATGTCATCCATAGAAAAGTGTACACTAATGCTCACAACAGCATTATTCACAAAAGCTTTAAAAATGTCAATAATCCAAATATACATCAACTGAAAAATGAATAACAAACTGCTATGCAGTGGAATATTACTCAGTGATAAAAAGATCATTATATATTACAATATAGATAAGACATTGAAAACACTAAGTGAAATAAGCCACATCATGTGACTGAATTTCTATGAAATATCCAAAATAAGTAATTTATTATACAGAATGTAGACTGTGGTAACCTAATGTTGGGGTAAAAATGGAGGAGGAGGTAGTTGGAGTGATGGCCTAAGGGCCTATTAAATTGACTGTGGACATTATGCATAACTCTGAATAAATAGCAACCCAATGAACTGTATGGTTGAAAGAAGTAAACTGTATGGTTTATAAATTACACCTCAATAATTCTATTTTTTAAAAAATCCATTTCAAACATGAATGCTTATGTGGTATTTGATGATTTTAAGGAAGAACTGCTAAGGCATAAAAACTACAATAAGAAGACGTATTTTTTAAATGAGCCCTTCTCATCTGAAAATAGACTATGAAACCTTGATGAAGGTCCTTAGGGCCTGCTTTTTCACAAAATAATATAGGGACAAAAAAAGATGTAACAGGATAAATGAAACTAACAATAACTACTGAAGCTAGATGATAAGTGAGCAAGGAAATTTGAGTCTCATCATAAGTTTTCTTTTATAAAAGTGGGGATAGTAAGGTCCAGAAATACAAAATTTTAAATCTAGTTTGATGATCTGATCCTCACAGTAGCTCAATTAAAAGCAATGATATAGAGTAAGTTAAGTTGAGTGATTAAAATGGGGAAATGGATAGTTTAGGAAGTAGTACAGGAAAGACTAATAGTTTTGAGTAGTGGAAGGAAGAAAGAAAAACTTGAAATGTTTTATACACTATAGTGCTAGCATGAAAATTAAGAGAGAAGGCTGTTATGTCTAGAGACAAGAATACCATACATCTACTCTCTATTGAGGAGGAATTCTAGATTAGATAGAAAAAACAGTGAAACTAATACTGTATGCAAAAATTAAGAACCTGAACTTGGAACTAGAAAGAAATAAAGTATGCTCTAGTCATGGATAGTCACGGCAGAAGTTAGCAATATGGGACAAAAGGAACAGGAAAAAGAAAAAAACATATTTTCAAGGAGGAAGAGGTTACTTGCTGAAAAACTCCTTATTCCATTTCTCCTTTTGTTTCTTCCTATAAATATACATACACAGATACAATTATATTTCAAAGAACTATATAATTGGAGACGCCTACACACAGAACAAAACGCCTCTGGTTACAATGATAATGAGCTACTGACTTTTCAGTTGTACCTTCACTGGCTCACAAACATTTGCCACTGCCACTTCCACCCAGAGAAAATTGATTTGTTTTTAAGAAATAAAGAAAGTGCTTCCTTTAGCTCTGTGATACCCTTCTGCCTTTGGCAAGGAGAAATAAAGATATGGAGTACTAGCCAGATGTTCGAAGAAGGCACATAGTCTAAGTACTAGAGCACACAAGGGAAAGCAGCAACAGCACTTGAAGGACTTTTGAAAGTTGACTAGAAAAAAGTTTCGCTTTTCTAAAAAGGAGAGAAAGCTATAGGAAAGGAAATAAGTAAATGGGCCTCACACAAGCCTATTAGAAGTACAGAGAAAAATGATGGAAGAAAACAGGATACATGACAGTCACAATGTAAGACAGATGACTCTTAAGTATCAGTTTTACTTGAATTCAGTAAGAAAGTTCATACTCTAAGAGTGTGATAAGATAAAACTGTACAACTGTCCAAAGGTACACAAGCTTCAACATGTTATCAAGTGAGGTGACAAAGACACTGAGATTGTGGTGGAAATCATTACAAAATTCCCCAAGGAATAAAGAAGCCCCTCTACTGTTACTGTTTGATAAAAACCATCTCTTCTATTTCTGGAAATGTGTACTTTAAAAGTTAGTATCATTTCAAGTTGGTTTCCAGCACTTAAAAAAAAAAAAAAGCATACATCAGAAATTACTTTTTTTCCCCTCAATTTATTTATTTATTGGTTTTTGAGACAGGGTCCCACCATGTAGTTTAGGCTGGCCAAGAAATCACTATGCAGCCCTGGCTCACCTTGAACCTGTGACAATTCTACTGCCTCAGACTCCTGAATGCTGGATTACAGACATGCAACCAGCACCACACCTGACAGGATAATCAATTTTTTAAAAATATACTTACCAATCTACATGTAAGACCAACAACTGCTATTGGAGTCTGTGCAGACTGAGAAATGTCAAAAAGATTATAGAGGAGTGTCTGGTTTTTATGATGAGCAAAAAGATCAAATTCATCTAATATGAAGATCACTGGGCAACTACTAGTCCGGTCACCTAAGATAAAGTGAAAAATTTGCATTAACAGGCAATTATACCAACTTTTCCTAAATCTCCAAACTATTTGCTATCTTTCACCTTCTGAAATTCAACAAGCATATACAGATAACCTACTTTGAAAAAACATAAAAATTTACCGACTATAAAACAACACGTAAAATTATTTTAGTCGTACAAAAGTTACTCTATTTATGTATCTATACCAATGATATGTGGCAGATAAAAATTAAAAACAAAATATTAATTGAGAAAATTACTGTTACAGTTATCATTTTCTTCTTCTATTTCTGTATCTTATTTTATTTTTTGGTATAAGCATATATTATTGCCTTTAAAGTTAAAGCAGAGAATAAAATTAAAAGCATTGCTTTGGTACTCCTAAACACATTAATATTTACCTTTTTTCAAAGCTTCCAGAAGAAATGAGAAGTTTTCAGCAAAACTTCCCTAAATAACAGAAAGAAGGTAATAATAACTATCTGCTTAGTTAAAAAAAAAAAAAAAAAAAAAAAAAAAAAAAAA